ACTGAGTAATGCCCTTCATTCTGGGGCTGGGTGGCACAGGGATGCAGAATGAGCTTCTTTTTCACTTTTTCTTTTAAAAATCTTATGCTGTGCAGATGAAGAGTGATGAGCAACAGACTGCCATAACAAATTGTCCAAATGTACATTCATAATCATATGATAACCAAAAATGGGAATCAGGACACCAATCACATTAAATTCATGCTAACTTGGCAAGGATTGTTCAATTTACCTTGAAAACAACAACTGGACTCTCAGCAGCTCACCAGGAACATTTTTTTCCATTCCCTGTCTCTCTCTCTGTCTCCATCTCTTTGCCCACCTTGCCCCTCTCTACCTACTCTCCTTTTCTCCCTCTCTCTCTCTCTGCTATTGCTTTTTTCTCCGTCACTGTGCCTTCCCTTGCCTCTCTTTCTTTCTCTCACTATATGTTTAATTTCTCTAGAATTCTGCTACAATCCTATAACATGTTTCTAGGTTTATGTCATTAGAACAGCAGCTTCATTCGATAGAAACTTGCCAGTAGGTTCTCGACCAAAGTCATATACACACTCTCAGAATTAAACTATTTCTAGCAATAAAATGAGCCTCAAACATAATTTCTTTGTATGGCTATCAAGGGAAATAAACAATCTACGACAATGGATTTTTTGTGTCAAAAGATAAAGATGTTGATCAAACAATGTTACAGAGCTTTCCCATTTCTTTCAAGCAATATTTTTTCAGGTCAAATTTTCTTTTGCTTTCTTTGAAAAGGTGGAAGTTAGCAAACTGCCAAGTGCCAACACTGTTTCCCACACATGAGAAAGAACTTTCTTGAGCTGTACACATGCCACATTGAAAAAAATAATTTAAAATTTCTTAAACTTGCCTCAAACTTTATGAATGAACCCATTATACACTTAATTCCGTACTTCCTTAAAAATAGTTATGTAAGGAACTATTTTATGCTCCTTAAATAATTTAAAATCCCATGGATGCAGTTTTCAGCAAAGCCTTAACATACACATTCATACGTGCAACATATATTAGATTGCGCTTTTTTTACACATTCAGTCACAGGTACATTTCAGTATTTTGATATTTTCTGCATTGGTTTGAAAGAGCTATTTATTATCAACAGAGTCATCTCACCAGTAAATTTTTATAGGCTGTTTTATTTCTAGTTTAGGGTTTCAGTATCGTATCTTACAATACCTAAAATAGGCAGTGTTGATTTGCTACTTTGGCTTTTGATAGAGAGTGTGTTTCTGGCATGGCTGTGGGAGGCTTTTTCTTTAATAATTTACAAAATTATCTGCAGTAAAATCTTCACCTGTTCTTTGTTTCCTGAGCACCACAAAATGCGAATTACATATAAAATCTTTCCTCCAGGAGAGTTATGTCTACCATGGCAAGAAAATCTCCACTTAAATTTTTATGAAACATCAAAATTACGGTCTGCTTTAGCAAAACAAGACAAAGGAGACTTTTGTTGTATGAGGAGCATTTCCGATATTTGAGGACATCATTCTTTGTCTCCCCTTTAATTTTTGTTTTCCTGTGGCAGCTTCTTTTTGGTTTCATCGATTCCCCTGTTTGTGCAGTGTGCTAATTTGTCTTTCATTACAGAAAGTTCCAGTGCCAACCACAGAGGCTAACCCCAGCCAGAAGACAGTCCTCACGGATGGCAGTGCTTTTCACAGTTTAATTTGAAGTTGTGACATAAAAGGACTGATGGTTGCTTGTTTCTTTCTTTTCTCCAGGACTGATCACCCCATCCTTGAAAAGGGCAATGGTCCCCACCTGGTGGCCCCAATTTAGCCACACATAGAAGCAAAGAAGCCCAAATGCTGTCCTTCACTTGCTTTCGATTTAAATCTCTCTTTATTGAATTATGTGTTTTAATAAAAGGTTTATATAACATCCACAGAGCAGTTATCAATTAATTGCCCATGGAAATTTAGGGGATGTTTCACTGTGGTATTTATTATACCCAGGGTGTTAAACATATGTTACATAAAAGATACAGTCGCCTTGAAATTATATTGGCAAGGCTGCCCTTTTCCTATAGAATATTATACATTCTAATGTGAAAAATGAGTTTAAAACCTATTAGGAGATGGGAATGGTGTGTTCCAAATGGCTTAAGTCAGGCTTATACACATTCCAGTAAGCTCAATAGAAATTTAGGAAATTACGCCTGCTGTCTGAGAAATTTCTTAATTCTTTAGGACATTCTTGCCTTCCATGGATTGGGTTTTGTATTTGAGAGAGCAAATGGGCAGCTCACTTAGAACCCTGGTTCCATCTGATTTCACCCATGGATTCATCCAGAGCCCCTGCAGACACCACTCAGGCCGGGGAAGAAGCTGTGTGTCCCTCCTGGTAGGTGCAGCCCTAAGTCTGAAAATTTCACCTACACACAGGCACGTGAATGCAGGGGCCAGAAAGGACAGAGGAGAGTGAATGATGGGGGAAGGCAGATGAATGTTGACTGGGACCCAGGATGTGACTGACAGAGAAGAGAAGAAAAGAAATCTTCCAGGTCTCAGAACAGTGAGGGCGACCACAGGTCATGGCAGGGTTACTGGGGAAGGGAGGTAGAGAGGAGCCCCAGCTGGCCCTCAAGTCAGAAAGAAAGCTGCCAACAGGTTTATAAGGATTATCTCACTCTTCACCGGCCCTGAAGACAGCCAGCCTCCAATTTTTCTATGTCTGGGAAAAAAGCTTATCTCGTTTGTTTGGGAACATAGGGTGGTGTTGTTTCTTTGATTTTTTTTTTTTTTTTTTTTTGTAACTTATCAGGGATAGAAATTATCTTCCTTCCTGGCTGAAGAAATTAAGGTGATACATTAGCTATTTCTGAAGCTGTACTCTAAAATATCACAAAATCAAAGTCATTACTTTGGGGCATTTTACTACATTGATTTTTAGAAAAATTACCTCCATAGTTATAGTTTAATTTAAAAATATCAGAAGCCAGTGAAATGTTTTCTTTTAGCTATTCATTAAATGAATTTAAATAAAAGCGAAATCAAAGATTTGCCCTACCACATTACTACTATAAAAACAAAGTAATCCATTCATGAATTCAACATTCAGTTTTGAGTTCATCCCTGGAGAGTCACTATCAGGAAACATAAACAAAGGACACAGCCCCTGAGCTCAAGAGTAAGGGGAGAGGCAGGATGAAAAGGAATGATTACGGGCTCCCCTGGTGGCGCAGTGGTTGAGAGTCCACCTGCCGATGCAGGGGACGCAGGTTCGTGCCCCGGTCCGGGAAGATCCCATATGCCGCGGAGCGGCTGGGCCCGTGAGCCATGGCCGCTGAGCCTGCGCGTCCAGAGCCTGTGCTCCGCAACGGGAGAGGCCACAACAGTGAGATGCCCGCATGCCGCAAAACAAAAACAAACAAACAAAAAGGAATGATTACAATCAAGTTTATAAGTGGTACACCAGGGCATCATGAGAAGTGATGGGAACACCAAGAGGCATGAGGTCCTAATTCCAAAATCAAAAGCTGCTTAAGGAACAAGGGATCACAGCTGAGCCTGACAGACCGACAATTCAGAAGGTGGAAGAGGAGGAACATGGCACCCCATGGAGAGGATACACAAGTCACATAATCCACCCCCAAGGGTCCATTCTCCCTTCCTAAAGCTGTGCTTGTGAAAGGCACCTGCAGTGACAACAGAGTCCATCTCCTCTGGTTCATGTATCTGAAGATGGCTAGGACATTGAGGAAGCCTAGACTTTCTTTTCTAGGCACCAAGACTTTCTCTGAAAAATCCACCAACTCTCACTTAAGGGTGAGTATTAAAGGTACTGGAGTATACCATAGATTTTGGCAAAAAACTTTTTATCCAAGGCCTAATTTGTCCTATTGAAATTTTAGTCACTCACTGATGCCAAAAGAGCTTAAATGAAAACTCAACTAGGTACTTCTGATTAGTTTCTAAATGAACTACAATTGACATTAAATACAAAAGATCATCACACTTGAGAATGAAATAATCTGCATGGAGAGTGTTCTGAAGGATAAGTACAAGTGCATTTTGGTTACAGTCAGATTAGCTGTCAAATGACAATAATCCCTGATATTCAATAGTGCTGTCACATTCATCCCACTCTTAGAGCCTGAAAACAAATTTCTGGAAGCTAGGAAGATGGTACTATTACTGCCATTTAACAATGCGGAAAGTTTTGATGATTTGCCTAAATCAACCTGGATAATCAGTGGCAAAATTACCAGGGTCCATATTCCTAAATCTATCATTTGGGCCTCCATTCTAAGGTATATCCATCATACAAAAAAACTATGCAGAGCTTTTCCAAGTGCAAACTTTTAAATATAATTGGAACTATTTCATATCTAATTCCATATTACATGAAATTGAAGATTATCCACTGACTTAATCTACTTTTCTTCTGCATGTAAGGTTTGATGTTTTTTGCAAGTTGCATAGAATGGAATGATCTGAAATTGACAATATAGCTCAGAGCATGGAGATACTCTGAGGCTGCCCTAGAAAGAAGCTGGTAAACTTTCATCTATAATGTTTAACAAAAATTTGGAAAATGAAAGGAAATTACTAATTCTGTTAAAATAGAAAAAATAATTAATTGACATACAAAATTAGAAAAAGTCAGCAAAGAAGCATAGCTCAAATAGATAATGAATGTTCATAATTTGGGTTACCAAAATAACTCATATATTCCTGGCAGCATTAATTATTCAGATTCATGTTTTATTTTGCATTTATTAAATAATTGTCAAAGTTGTACTTATTTTTGTTTCATATATTTATGGTTGACATGAATTGTGAATTTTAAAGCTTCATCTTGAACAAGCTTTAAATATTACTTTTGGTTCCAAGGTTGAAAAGTAAATACATCACCACTATTTAAATAATCCCTGGTCCTTTATTCCACACTTAAGAAAGCACTTATTTGAGAAGTGAATTCAAATCCACTAAAAATATTTTTAAAGCTCTTTTAAGATATTATAAAGGGGGACTTCCCTGGTGGTCCAGTGGCTAAGACTCTGCTTTCCCAATGCAGGGTGCCCAGGTTCAATCCCTGGTCAGGGAACTAGACCCTGCATGCTGCATATGAAAAAAAAAAAAAGATCCCACATGCCGCAACTGAAGATCCTGCATGTGGCAACTAAGATCCCTCATGCCACAATGAAGACCAGACGCAGCCAAATAAATAAATAAATAATACTTTTTTTTTTTTTTTTTTTTTTTTTTTGGCACGGGCCTCTCACTGTTGTGGCCTCTCCCGTTGCGGAGCACAGACTCCGGACGCGCAGGCTCAGCGGCCATGGCTCACGCGCGCAGCCGCTACGTGGCATGTGGGATGCTCCCGGACCTGGGGCACGAACCCGCGTCTCCTGAATCGGCAGGCGGACTCTCAACGACTGCGCCACCAGGGAAGCCCAATAATACTTTTTTTAAAAAAGATATTATAAAGGTAAAATCTTGTGTGTAATAAGGAAACAGTAGACTTCTTGTCTTTTTGTTACAGCTTTTCATTTTTGATAGCACATTGTGTTCTTTGTGCTGTTCCTAATGACAATTATCTAAAGAGTTAGTATCTAGGGCTGAAGGGGCAACTGCCACAAGAAATCTGTGAAAGCAAATTCATTAATACATTTTATAATATAAGGGGGATGTGTAAAAAAATCCCTTGCACTCATGTATTTATATGGTCACTACATTAGTTCCCAGGGCTGCCATAAAAAATAGCACAAACCTAGTGGCTTAAAATAACAGAAATTTATTCTCTCTACATTTCTAGAGGGCAGAAGTTTCAAATCAAGGAGTCAGCAGGGCCCTGCTCCCTTCAAAGTCTCGAGAGGAAAATGCTTCCTTGCCTCTTCCAGCTTTGGCAGCTCCAGGCATTGCTTGGCTTGTGGCTGCATCACTCCAATCTTTGTTCCATTCTTCACATGGCCTTCATCTCTCTGTGCATCTCTCCTCTGTGTGTCTCTTATAAGGACACTTGTCATTGGATTTAGGGCCTACCTGGATAATCTAGGAGGGTCTCAAGATCCTTTAAATTAACTACGTCTGCAAAGACCCTTTTTCCAAATAAGATCACATTCACAGATTCCAGGGGTTAGAATATAGACATATCTTTTGGGACGCACCATTCAACCTGCTACAGTTACCTTCCCAAGACTTCCACTCACACAGTCATGGTCATTCAATGGTTATTCTGTACAATTACTGGAGAGATAGGAGCAAGAACACATGAGTCACTGATTCCATTACAAAATCCAATCACAGTGATCATGTGACAAGGAAGAAAGAGCTCTGTGAAGAGCAAACCGTAATTTACGTTTGTCACAGTCTTGAAGAATACCCAGTGTCAGACTGCTAATGTCCTGAAGCATCAATCTCTCCTGGTTTCTTATTTTGGCACAAATTTTACCCAGGACTTTTACCAACTACATGAGTCTTTTATTATGGGATCCTTCAGGAGCAACTGTTGAAATCATGTCCTCCCTTACTTGTTCCTCCCTTGAAAATATCTTTCTCCTATTAGGCTGGTTTGAGAGGTTTTTTTCAGTTTTGTGTTGTTTTTTAATTTTATTTTTATTTTTATTTTTTCTCCCGCAAGTCTGGGCTTCTGTCAGATATCAGGAAGCCCTCACTATTCTGGGACATTTTCCCATGTTGACAAGTCCTTTAAAAGTACTGTCACCTCTTCTTCAAATAAAGAACTTGCATTGGAAAAAATCTACAGCATTTGTTCAAACTTAAGGATTTTTCATGGGCCTAAAGCAGGTTAAAATGTTTTTTGAAAAGAGAGAGTTCAGGGATTCCCTGGTGGCACAGCAGTTGAGTCTGCCTGCCAATGCAGGGGACACGTGTTCGTGCCCCGGTCCGGGAAGATCTCACGTGCCACGGAGCGGCTGGGCCCGTGAGCCATGGCCGCCGAGCCTGCGCCTGCGAGTCCAGAGCCTGTGCTCCGCAACGGGAGAGGCCACAGCGGTGAGAGGCCCACATACCACAAAAAAAAAAAAGAGAGAGAGTTCAACGTTTTTCACTTATGTGGTTTACTACTAAAAGATTTTACTGCATTTTATTTATACCTCAGGACACTTTCAAGGAAGGGACTCATCTCTAAGGACTGATATATAAGACAGGGAGCTATGCCCACCTCATAGCTCCCAAAGATTTAACTCATCATCTCTTTCCTCCCAAGCTCTTAGCCAATCCTAGCCAAGGCTAGCAGATCAGTAAGCTCCCCAACTTCAGAATTAACCTCGCTGCTATAAACCAAGTTTCACTATTCCTGAGATAGGCACAACATTCCTCATCTACCACATTGCCCTAGACCTTGTAGGCACAGCATCTATCTCATCTCCTTGTCAACATAGGCTTGGTATTTCAGGAGTAATTTTAGACAGAAATCCTGTGTAATAAAGAATGTGGCTGGCTTTTGTTCCTGGTTCCTGACAGGTAACTTCTAAATTCTTAGAATTTTCTGAGTTACTCATGGTAAGCTTGACCACACCTGAGTTTATGTTAATGAGATGACTCATGATAGGCTGGTGGGCCCCTAGATAGTTCATGCTAACAAGATGACTCAGGATGGGGGATAGCCACGCCAGAAAAACCAACCATGTGATTAGAGGATTGGGGCTTTGAACCATATGATATTAGTCCAACCTTTGGAGGCTACTAGAGGTTGAGATTAACCACATAGCCATTGATTCAATCAATTGTGCCTACATAATGAGAACCCAACGTAAGCCCTGCATACTGAAGCTTGGGTGAGCTTCCCTGGCTGGTGATGCTTTGCTATCGTCACGCGTCGATGTGCTGGGGGTGATGCACCCTGACTCCAGTGGGAGAAGACAACAGAAACTTCACATTTGGGACCGTCCCATGCTTCACCCTGTGCATCTTTCCCTTTAGTGGTTCTAATTTGTGTATTTTTGCTATAATAAAATTGTAATCATAGTACTTTCCTGAGTTCTATGTGTTTTTCCAGCAAATTATCAAAACTGAGGGATTAATGAGAACCCCTGAATTGTATCGGTTGGTCAAATGTGAGAGTGACCTGTGAACCCCAAGCTTGCAGCTGAAGTGAGGGTAATCTTGTAGAGGGACAGGACCTTAACTGTGAAGTTTGGCCCAACTCCTGGTAGTTGGTGAAAGAAATCACTGCTCCAAAGTCACTACTTGTACCAGGTGTTTCATATAATGTATTAGTTTCCTATTGCTGCTGTCACAAATCACCACAAACTAAATGGCTAAAAGCCACACAAATTTATTATCTTACAGTTTTGGAGCTTAGATGTCTAACATAGGTTGACAAGTGCTGCATTCCTTCTGGAGGCTCTGGGGGAGAATCCATTTCCTTGTCTGTTCCAGCTTCTAGAGGAGGTTTGCATTCCTTGGCTCAGGGTACCACATAATGTCGTCGTATTTCCTTCACTCCTTCTCTGCTGGTTTGAAAACTGTCCCCCATACACAGAGGGCAAGGCGAGATCAAAAAAGAGGTAGACCACTTCAGATTGGTAGGGGGCAGATTTAACAATCAAGGGAACCAAGACAAGGCTTGTCTTGGTCTGCCACAAGATGAGTAGATCTCTGCACATGGCTGCCAAATCATAAAAGTTTATGTAGGGGTCTTAGATGGGTGTATCACGTGTACCATTCAGATGGTCTCAACAACACACTACTATTTCAAGGCTGTGTCCTTGGGGTAGCTTCTAGCACAGGGTAGGCAAGTAGGATGCACATTCCAAGGACAGAGGAGAGGGTCAGGAGACTCTGGTTGCCCAGGTCCAGCTGGTGGGTCAACTGGTGGGCACATTCTCTCGATGAAGTTCTCCAACACTCTGCTTCTATTGCCACATCACCTTCTCTGACTTTGACCCTTCCGTAGCCTTCTTATAATAACTCTAGCAATTGCATTGGGCCTATTCGGATAATCCAGGATCATCTCCCACCTCAAGAGCTTTACCTTAATCACATCTGCAAAGTCTCCTTTGCCATGTAAGTTAACAAATTCACAGGTTTTGGAGATTAGGAAGTGGGCATATTTTGAGCTATTACTCTACCTACCACAAATGGCTTTTGCCAGTGGAAGAACACTCAAAAGCCGTAGCCTACACTAGGTTTGTGTTCAAAGCCAAAGCCATACTCTGAAATCATTTCAAAAGGCACAAAAATATTTTGCTAAATGTAATTAGTTTCTGTCTACATAGGCCTTTCTTGTTAAAATTTAATTATTACTACCCTTAGGGTGGCCTTTCCTTAATTTTTCTTTTTATTTCCTCCTACATACCTATTATTATTAACCCAGATCCCTTACAACAGAAGTTTACATCTGAGAACAGAGAACAGGATTCTAAATCTATTGCTACATTCATTATATTCCTTCCTAAAATGGCTTCTGATCGTAACACCCTCATTTTTCTCAGTAGCAATATAGCAGAAAAGCAATAACGGGAAGACAGGAGAGAGAGGAGAGAGAGGAGAGAAGCAGAGGAATTAACTGCACGTATGTTACAAGTTTGGCTCCCCTTTTAACTAGTTGTATGTTTTTGGAGAGGCCACTGAATGTCTCTAAGGCTCAGTTTCTTCATCTACATAATGGCAATAATCGTTTTGTTGTGATCATATTAATAATTAAATTGTTGTAAAGATGAAATCCAGCACAGGGTCTTGCACATAGTAGGGCCCCTTCTTTCCTTCACCTTCACCCACCATTGCACACCACAAGTGGGGCCTACCTGCTCTAAAGAGAACCAATTCACATAAGATCATGACACGATGTATTCCACCCTAAGCCACTCCGTCTACATACACACATCACTGAACCTCGGCAAGGTAGGTCTGCCCCCAGTGCCAACACCGACTTACTTTTATAAACCATTCAGGCATGCCTTGCATGGCTGTGGACAGGGGGGATGAAATATAATATGAGAGGACAGGATTTTTTCTGACCTTCAATGCATTCTCCTACCGTCATCTCATTCTACTCTACAGCCAGCGTGACTTTGTCAAGGTTACCTGAAATCTCCACAAGGAATGAAACGATGCCTGTCCTGTTAGCCTAACTCTCCA